GATAAGCCTAATATGCTAAGTGTCTGGTTATCCAGTTGGCTGTTCAACCAATCAAAGTGTAATATGCTAATGATATGCTAAGGCCGCTCAACTGCTTGCTATGACATGCACTGACCATCAGGGGGCAGATGCTCTGACCAGTAGGTTAGTTTGCTGCTGGGGTCCAGCTGATCGGGACTGAGCAAGATGGGCAGGACACACCTTGGAGCCCTCCATGGCCCCTCCCCAGCTGGCCGACCTCCCACATCCTTTCCCGGCCCTGACCATGCACCAGTGGGGTCCCTCAACCTGGCCTGCGCCCTCTCACAATAAAAAAACAATTGGGGACCCCTTGGAGGATGTCTGAGAGCCAGTTTCAGCCTGATGGCAGAACAATCAGTTTCCTTGACACACACTGACCACCAGGGGTTAGACCAGCCGTGGGCAAACTACGGCCCGCGGGCTGGATCCGGCCCGTTTGAAATGAATAAAACTATTGAAAAAAAAGACCGTACTCTTTTATGTAATGATGTTTACTTTGAATTTATATTAGTTCACACAAACACTCCATCTATGCTTTTGTTCCGGCCCTCCGGTCCAGTTTAAGAACCCATTGTGGCCCTTGAGTCAAAAAGTTTGCCCACCCCTGGGTTAGATGCTCAATGCAGGAGCTATCAGAAGCCGGGCTTACGGCTGGCAAGTGCACCAGTGCTGTGGCAGGAGCCTCTCCCGCCTCTGCAACAGCACTAAGGATGTTCAACTGACGACTTCGGAGGATGGGCCTAAGCTGTCTGTCGGACATCCCCCAAGGGCTCCCAGACTGAGAAGGTGCAGGCCAGGCTGAGGGACCCCACTCTCCTTAGTGCACGAATTCCGTGCACCGGGCCTCTAGTATACATATAATATGGAAAAAGAGGGGAGATAATATATTATGATCAAGTAGGGTTTATATTTGGAAAAGGCGTTTTAAAAAATTCAGTTCCCATTTATGTTAAAAGCCTTAGCTAATGAGGAGTAGAAGGGAACTTTTTCAACCTGATAAAGGTATGAAACTACAATAAACGTTCTACTTAGTGGTGTAAGACAGTGCTTTCCCTCTGAAATTAGGAATGATGCAAGGTTGTACAATACAAGGTCAACGTACCAAAATTGTATTTCTGCATACTATCAATGATTAATTGCTACATAATTTTAAAGTGTTATTTACAAGTCCATTAAAAATTATGAAGTATGTAGGGCTAAATGCATCAAAATATGTGCATGACCACTCCACTGAAAACCATAGAACGTTGCTGAGAGAACGTAAAGAAGGCCTCCATAAATGCAGAGATATCATGATGTGTATAGTTTGGATGACTCAATTATTAAGAAGAGAACTCTTCTTAGTAAGTACTTGATTTCAAGAATTCCTGTAAAGCTGTAGTAATCAAGACAGTGTAGGAATGGCACCCTATGGTTTAATTGAGGAGCTGGTGATTTTGGAAGGAGGACTGACTGAAAGGGGCACTAGGGACCTTGTGGGGATGGTGAAATTTTCCTATGTCTTGATTATTGTGTTCATAGGGGTGTATATGCAAGAAGTTGTCAAACTGTAAAATGTGGGTAGATTTTATTTTACCTAAAGTATACCCTAATAAAGTTGAATTTTTAAAAAAATCCATATTTACAGGGTAGTTTACCTCATAGATTTCTCCAGTTTTGAGATGGGAATATATAATTTTTAAAAAGCCTCTTCCATTTATCTCTTTGGAACATGACTAGTAGGCATTCAGTAGTTTTTAGTATATTGTTCAATAAAATACAAGATTGATGTAGGCTAAGTATTTTGAATACTTATTTTCATAATACAAATTTTGGAAAGCGTGATGTATCCTTTTATACAAAGAACTAGAGGCCCAGTGCACAAATTCATGCACAGGTGGGGTCTGGCTGGCCTGCCGGGATCGGGGCCTATCGGGCCAGGCTGGCCCGGGGGAGGGGCCGCAGGTGGTTGGTGGGCCGGGCTCACTCCTGATCGGGGTTAGGGGCGCTTATTGGGGGTGGGGCCAGTTAGCCCCTTCCCCTGGTCGAACTCCCGGGGGAGGGGACAATTTGTATATTAGCCTTTTATTATATAGGATAATTCTTCAAAGTTATGTATTCAGTGTAATAGAATTTCCTCATTTCCTGTTGACTTTTATTGGATTATGGCTATATGGTTGCTAAATTATATTTTCCACTTTCAGATTATTTTTTTTTAATATATTTTATTGATTTTTTACAGAGAGGAAGGGAGAGAGATAGAGAGTTAGAAACATCGATGAGAGAGAAACATCTGAGAGAGAAACATCGATCAGCTGCCTCCTGCACACCCCCTACTGGGGATGTGCCCACAACCCAGGTACATGCCCTTGACCGGAATTGAACCGGGGACCTTTCAGTCCATAGGCCGACGCTCTATCCACTGAGTCAAACTGGTTTCAGCCACTTTCAGATTATTATACTTATCAAATATTTAGATACAGCCATTTTGGGGTCATAAAGTAACCCAAAATTGATTTTTTTATTTCATAAAGTAACTTTTTTGATTTCAGAAAGTAACTTGCCAAGACTGGATATCTGGGTTCATAGTCTATGCTCATAATATACCTATGGCACTTTCATAATGTTATAGAACAATTAACCTACAGTGGTGATTTATACACATTTTTTAAAATAAAAATGTGTTACCACTAGTCTTTATTTCAAAGTGCAGCACAAGCCCAAATAGTTGTAGTATTAATCTTTTTTTCTCACACATAGTTTTACAGAGATTATGTATACCTCTGTAAAAGAAACGACCTTCTTAATATTCTTTCATTTATTTTAGAATAGTCTGGGTAAACTGATATAAACCTCTTGCTTTTAAAATGTTTTTTCCGGTATTTAACAACCTTTTCTGGTTAAGAAAACACAAGGTGGTGGTATTTAGTCTAGCCATTTAGATCTACAGGGAGGATGCAAAAAGGCACCCTTGCTTTTACTCCTATCCAGGGTGCGATGTTTGGTATTCTTAGCTAGTGACAAAATTATAAGCCACATAAATGTGCACATACATTGAAAATTTATAATGTAAATTTGCTTGCTTATTTCTAGGAATGATAAGACAAACGCTTTGAGATTTAGCCCTAGTTGGGTGGTGCAGTATACACCAAAAGGTAGCAGGTTCGACTTCCAGTAAGGCAGTGCTTCTCAACCTTCCTAATGCCGCGACCCTTTAATACAGTTCCTTATGTTGTGGTCACCCCCAACCATAAAATTATTTTCGTTGCTACTTCATAACTGTAATTTTGCTACTGTTATGAATCGTAATGTAAATATCTGATATGTAGGATGTATTTTCATTGTTACAAATTGAACATAATTAAAGCATAGTGATTAATCACAAAAACAATATGTAATTATATATGTGCTTTCTGATGGTCTTAGGCGACCCCTGTGAAAGGGTCCTTTGACCCCCAAAGGGGTCGCGACCCACAGGTTGAGAACCACTGCTGTAAGGGCACATACTAGGTTGTGACTTTGACCTTGGTCGGAGGCAACTGATGGATGTTTCTTTCTTCCTCTCGAATGAAAAAAAAAAACTTGATTATAAAATGACACATATATCCCTGGGTGAAGATTTTTACAAGGTTACATTTAAATTTTAGTTTGAATAATGCATTTTTCACCTGTTAGCCATTTACAAAAATCATCTCAACCTCCATCTCTTCATGTGCTGAAATTAAGATTTAACTGAGTATATTTCTATATGTCAACTCAAATAGGGCAGTGTAAATGAAAACTGTGTGAAAACTAGAAATGAATGGACAGAGTCTTTAGAGCAAGAAAATGACATGGTACACTATTTTAGGTTGATAATGTAGGATCTGAGACCAGGCAAAAGAGGAGTGAGACTAGAGAAGTAGAAGGGGACAAGATCGTAGATGAGGTTGGTGACATTAAGAGTGGAGATGAAAAATATAATTAGTCATTTTGGAGGGAAAACTTACTTCATGGTGATTGATGAGAAAGAAGAGGGAAAAGAAGGAATCTCTTGCCTACCAGATTATCAATATCTGACTGCCAATTTTCACAGTCTGGCTAACCATTTACTATACACAGACACAGAATTGAAAGGACTTCTAAGAATTGATAGTCTTTTGGCTCTGTGTAGGATGCTGCCTGCATTCATGAACATAGAGAATTTGGGAGAAAATGCTGGTTTGGTTAATAAGTCAACTTATTCACCTGTAAGCAAGTAGAGTTCCATGCCACAGATACGGGTATAAAATAGTATTACCATAATTTTTATGTGGTACTCATGAAATTTATTTATTTAGGAGCACAGACATCTGATTGTAAAGTTCCATTAATATTTGGGAAAATGATAATTTTAGGCCTTTTGAAAGATAGTATTTTCTTCCTAATAGTGCTACGTATGGTATTTAGTATTTAAGAAAAAACACACATAACTGTAGTGAAACCTTTGGCTTTCAGATAATTTGCATTCAGTTTTATACAGTGCTATATCTGGGGGAGAGGGACATTTCTGGATCTTACATATATAAATTTGAGTATTTGTTACAGAAATGTCAGTCTAGTTATTGTCAATGTTAAAATAGTAGGATTTAGATGAAATTTGTCTGTGAACTGGGATAATTATTTTACAGCAGTGGTTTTCAGACTCTAAGGTTGCATCAGAATCATCTGGAGAACTTGTTAAAGCACAGGTTGCTGGGTCCTGCCTGTAGTAGATCTAGGGTAGAGCTGGAAATTTGCATTTTTAGCAAGGTGATCATGCTTATGTTAAGAACTACTATTATATAATAAGGACTAAGATTATCCTCAGAAACCACAATTTAGCCTCAAAAAATAACTTTGAAAAATAAATAATCTCTAAGAAATAGATTTAATTTTCATAAACATATAGCTCAAATCCAAATCCCCTTAAGGTATGATAAATACAAGATTTTTGTTATAGTGTTCCCTAAAAGCTATTGTTCGTACTTATTTAGCAACAGAATAAATTAGAAGAATATATTTTAAAATACTGTAAGGACATTATAAATGTTCTCTATTCACAACAAATAGTTGACTATTTAGAGGTATTTGGTGCTTCTAAATATGTAATTAACTTACCCAGTAATTTCCTTGGAATTAAACATGCTTACATTTTTAAAGATTTTAATACCTGTGTGAAAAAAACAAAAACCTCTTCACTCAAAGATGAATGGTCCTTTTCTCCTCTTACCCCATGTATCCCATTATCCCCAAAATTTCAAAACCTGAAACTCTTGGAGGATCAGTATTGTCACAATACATATGATTAATATAGTATGTCAACCCAAATTAGTTTCAGTAATTTTTTTAAAATCTTATTTTTTTAGCTAATGGGAATGACAACAAGAAATTTAAAGGAGATAGACCTCCCTGTTCGCCTTCCCGTGTTCTCCATCTTCGCAAAATTCCAAGTGATGTCACCGAAGCAGAGGTCATATCATTAGGTCTACCATTTGGCAAAGTAACTAATCTTTTGATGTTGAAAGGAAAAAGCCAGGTATGTAATATTTAAAGATTGACCCATCGTTATATCTCTGGGTATTAGTGTTAAAGATGATTTTTATTTTTTTGAACTTTTCTAAATTGCATTTTCTAAATTTCATTCCATTTACATAAAGTAGTTTTTAAATTATAATTTTTTGTGTATGACAAGAAACAACAAATAAAAATATTAACATTGACTGGTCTTTTTCCCTTAATAAAAAAAATTGTATTTTTAATTACAAAATGGCTTATGAAAATATCCTGTGATTACCAAAAGACCCCAACAGAAAAAGAGAGAAAATATAAATTATACCTCATTTGGCAAATTACAGGACATAGAAGTTTTCCAAAATCTATATAGAAATATTTATACTATTTTAGTTATAGAATTAATAAGTAGCTTCTTTGATAATTTCAGAAGTTAATAGGTTTTTCTTAAGAGAATATGCTTCTGTGGTGATCATTTCAAAAATATAGTACATGTCATATTGATATAATCGCATGCTTTCTTGTTCCATTTCAGAC